GGATCACCGTGTTTTCATTGGTGTCGTATTTCTTCATGTATGTGGCGACGTATTCGCCAGCATGACCTCCTTTCATGTAGGACAAAATCATTAAGACCCTGTCGAATTGCTCAGGCAGTCGCTTCCTTTGCGTCACTGCATAGAGCTTCATCTGTGTCTTTCAAGCGATATACTTGGACTTCGTGCCATCGAAGGCATCGGGCTTCATCGCACTTCCATTTATGAGCGCGGCATTGTTTTGGTTCTCGGCCATCACGCCGGGATCAGATGGGGATGAAGGTGGAGTGGGAGAACGGCGAGAAGGTGGGTTCGAAGCATCAGAATCTTCTACTGCTTCTTCCACGGGGTTTGGTGGGCCCTCTGGTGGTGCTTCGGATTCTCCGAGGGCAATCGAGCGGAGATGGTCAGTGACTGATTCAAGAGTGTCTCGTCTGGTTCTGGGTTCTGAACCGGATGCTCTGGGTTGTGGAGCTGCAATAGATTCTGCGGGTGCTCCTGTAGTAACTCTCTGTACTATTTCTCCGCGTAGTCCTTCCCTACACCGGGGACAACAATTGCTATTATCCGGAGAATGCGGGCAGGGCTGTTGCGCGCAGTACCGTAAATTGTCACCTCGTAGATAGATAGATCTTCCCTCTAGCTCTCGGTGTGTATGTCCTCTACAATCGCAGGAAGGCGTGGTCATAGGATATCGGGTCTGTGAAGCTTATCTTGCAGCAACTCTGGGACCAATCGTGTTGGAACGACCGGATCAGAGGTAGAGTTCGCCAAAGATAGGGTTTTTCCAAAAAAGAGCCGAAACGCTATCTTAATACAGTTCTAGGAATAGTATAGCAGCCCAAAGAGCGATTATGTCTCTTCAGTCCGACATCCTGACAGGGATCGTCGATCTAACTGCTATCTCTTTTCCGACGCCCAGCCTCAGCCAGTTGCCACGTTGTACTCAGGAATATCCGCTTGCACTGCGCAAAGCGTTTAACACCACCTATGGTAGGGCAGTGTACGATTCTAATTGGACGGAGCTCTGTTCAGCCGCCTAAGGGCTGGTGATTACAGAGGTGGCTTCGGGGTGTGTGATATGGTAAAAGGTTGTGCAAGTGCACGAAAAAGGGTTCCAGGGGTCCGGGTCTTGATGCGGTAGAATTTGGTAGGGTTAGGATTTAGGGTGAGAGTCGGATGTGTGTATTGGGTGGATCGTCGTGTGGAGATGGGTGATGGTTGGTGTGAGAGTGACGAGGATCATCGTAGGGCAGTTGGTGGAGACTCGAGCTAATGTCAGCAACCTACAATCCAACTGGACTGGGCTACGACGAAGCTGAGGAGACGGACGAGAGAAAAATAGGTGAGGAAAGACCAGCTCGAGTCTGGCTTGTTATTGAGCAGTACGAGCTCCTTTTATACATGTCCGACTGAATACCTAGAATATTCTACGAATATACAGAGGTGTATAGAAAGTAAAAGAATACTATGGAACCCGGGAGAACCATCCAGGATATGTAATATTCATGACACCCCGTCAGTGACGTTTCCTAACCAGAGTGACGAACGATGCAATCTTCAAGTTGGAATTTGGACTCTCTGTACTTATGCATATGCTGGTCGTTTATATGTCCACGCCTTATGTCATTTGCCCTGTATGTGCTATAAAATTTGAAGACGGTATTCCTCCTCGCCTCTCCCCCCTTCCGGAAGTTGATTATGATCAGTGGTGGACTATGCCTTCGTTTGTATGACAGACGAGTTGCTGGTCAGCTCTCTTATCGCGTCCGGGCGAGACTCGGCCACTAGGTCACCGGTCATGCATTGTTGGAACTAAGAAAGACCTGGTTCATTTCCCTCTAGTCTCATCACAGTGACAGGCATGGATTGTACGAAGAATGTAATGTAAGTTCTGAATATGTACATAGATGGAACAATACAATACACCGACCTAATAGTCGTTGAACTTAATGATTATGTCAGCTCCACTGCTTCATTCTTGCAACTCTATCTTCTTGGGAAAGGGAGCAATACTGCTCAAAATCGAGGCACAGACTGTTTATTAAAACTATTTACTAGAGAACTGTGCCTTTATTTTGTTCTCTACTGGAGTCTGCGCAGAGGAGATAGATTTAGCAGGTGCATCCTCTGCGAAGCGTGACGGCGCTTGAGCACGTGATGTGGTGGGGAATGAATGCGGTCTTTCTTACGGTTTGTACAAAGAACCCATGCATTAGATGGTTGAGGTAGAGAATGGCAATCATTGGGCTGTAGATGCGACCGGCGTCCTCGGGCTGAGCATCAATACTCAGCAGGAATAGCAAAAGCCAGACCTGCCAGTACAGGCAGAACACGTTATCGGACATGAACGTCCCCGCGGTACGGTTCGTTCCGCGGCGCACAGCTCCCGGATCCTACTCATCCTACAACCTTCGGACTTCTTAGTCGCCGGGAGGTCCGTGTCCGTGCTCGTTCGGACGGCAAACAAGAGGCGGAGGCCTGCATCGAAGCCAGACGCGAAAGTCACTTTGATCGTATCTGGGCAGCACGGCGTAGCCGGCGTCGACGGGAGGACAAAGTCTCAGCCTGTGAGATCCCCGAAACGGCTGAACAGCCAGGGAGTCAGCTGCAGAGACCGTTCTTACGAGTGTCGGGAAGTCATCGGTAGGCTGTGCGAGCCCGGTTTCGCCTGCGGGCCGCCGCACTGGCAGCCCCTCGATGGCGGTGTGCTGTAGGAGTGGAAGGGTCCTGGCAACAAACGAGACAGGACCCAGCGACTGGTTGTTAGCCGGCGCCATTGAAAACGGCACAAAGTGAACGCTGCTGGAGTCGAGTGTGGAAAGGCAATTGGGCGTGGTGGATCCCGGGGTTTTCGTTGGAGCGTCAGCCCTGCCAGAGCAATATCGCTTTGATGGCCCCTGCTGGGAACGACTATACTGGCTTGGGGACGGTTGGCAACGCCCCACAGCTGGAGAAGAACGTTGTCGAAAGCTGCGCAGCGTGAGAGTCCGAATCGTTGGCGAACAGTGTCGGCATGCAAGTCTGCGGGCTGCGAATCCGCAGTCGCGTACGCGCAGCACGACATTGTACTCGGTAGAGGACAAAAGGCCGGCGATGAAGCCTGTGGGACTGGACGAAAGGCCGACAAGGTCAAGAAAGATGCAAGTTGCCTCAGAGAGATCTCGGCAGGCTGTCTGCAGGAATGGTCTTGCTTTTGGGGCCGCGACAAGTCTGGGACGCGTTTTGATGGTGGCGTGCTGGGAGAGCGAAGAGTCCTGAGCTGCGAACGAAACGGAGTCAGAGGACGAGGTAGTACTGGCCTAGGCCTGTCCGGGTTAGCGTGGTCGACAGCCGCGAACGCGAACGATGCTTACCAGAGAGGTGAGAAGCCGGCGGTCACGCTGAACGTTACCCGTCCGAGACTGTCGAAGACGTCCCGCGAGGAAGAACATCGAGGCTGCGAAGCGTGAGATGCCAGAACGGAAGAAAGAATCAAACCGACTCGGACTAGTACTGGCACCCGGGAGAAGCTGCGAGGTCGTGCTTTAGACGACGCTTGCCCAATGGCATCTGCCCGACTGTGTCAGCCGGAGGACCGAGGTAATCGACGGTACGGGACAACATTGATCTCGGAAGGCTAGCCAGCTTTTGACAGGCGATATCCCCATGGCCAGAGGTGCCGCGGGAGTCTGCCGTTATGACAGGATGCGAGCGGGACGAAAGCGAACTGGTCTGCTTGATTGTACGTCGCGTATGTTGTGGCGTTGCCGTTCGATGTTGTGGGGTCGAACGCGTGGCGCCGCTGTAGCAAAATCGACTTTGATGCTCGCGCCGCACGACTCGTTTCGACAACACGAGATAGTTCCCTTTCTATGCGGACGTAAAGAGGGTGCATCAGGAAGAAAGGACGAGATTATGGAGGATGCGTACAGCTTTGCGCGCGTCCTGGCTAGTCGCGCGTTACCTTCGAGCACGTGCCCGGTGGCGCGGCAGGGCCATCGAAAGTCTAGAGTCCAGATATTGCAGCCATCGCCGCGCGACGCGCGTCCGCGAGGAAGAGGTATGCATCCTGGACGTTCTGACCTGCATCGAGGCGTGACGAGCCTGCGCGAACGAGCACACGTCCGTTAGCGACCTGCTTTCGGCAGTTCCGAGACAGTCGCTTCGGAGTCGGGCCCCACCGATCGCTCGCTCGCCTGCGACGCGCATCCCGGGCGGGTCTCGTTGTATTGGGCGCGGACGTCGGCTGTTCCATCGCAGCACAGGGATACGCGGATGTTAATTGAAGTGGGGCGCGTGACAGATCGCGACAGGCTCCGGTGCAATAGCAAGCATTGTTACAGAGGATTCAATGGAAGATCTCGAGCGTGGACAGAGGGTAGAGAGGCCATAGTGCCTGAAACTCGGAGAGACCAGCTGAGACTGCAAATAGCACGGCGGCGGTGCTGGAGGACATAACGCGGCTGGCTACTGCATATAGAACTGCAGAGGCATGGAGGGGGCTGCTGGTGATAAGCTCAAACATAGGACATTAAGCCTCGTCGCGCAGGGAAGCGTTTCCATCGCAGGCGTAGATCGCACTGGGGTTGCGCGGTGCCTCTGTACATGTCGCGAGATGAGGGTACGGGTCCCGAACAAAACGGTGAGCTATTTCTGACATGTATTGTCGTCTGGGCCGAGAGGGGTACCCGGGTGAGGCTGAGGCGAGGAGGCTAGCAGTCGGCTGCGACCGAGACAGTCAAGTCAGAAAGACAATGGTGAATGCGGAAGCCGTGGAGCATCTGGAACCAGCTGACCTCCCGATGGCAGGTAGCCCGAGCGAGGATCTGTTGGGCAGCTTTGTGGCGTTTGTCTCACGGTGTGTCGCCGGAGGCGGCACGTACGACCCGTCCCGATGCTGTGGCAGGTATGGCACAGGCGTCGGGAGGGCGAGAGCATCAAAACGTCGGGAAGGACATAGTGCGCATCACTCCGGCATCAGCGCTGAGCACGAAACAGTTTAAGGTTGTCGTTGACGACTCTTTCCTGTACCACTAGTACTCTGTCTGCGGTGTCCTTTCCAGTATGCGCGCTGGCCCCTGAAGGCGGGACTCGACGTGCTCGCCAGTGGCTTACGATGCAGATTCTCTACCCTGCGTTGTGCGGCAGGCGCCGGGAAGCGTGGGACCGGGCGGGGTGGGAGGGAGCTGTTTACGGACGGACGGACGGACGGTTACGTGTTGGTGCGTCGGGTCCGGACTGGAGGTCGGAGACGGTGCGCATGGCAGCGAGCGGGATGTGTGTGTGGGTGGGTGAGTCAGCATGCCATCGACGGCGGGTTTGTTTGTCATTTGGCGCCATGAAAGGACTGGGAGGAGTAGCCAGAGCCGGAGGAGGACCATCACCAGAGCTGTGCACGGGCGAGGAGTAGGCTTGGCGGAATAAGGACAGCGCGTTTGCTGATGCTCCATCCATGACCCGATGACGTCGACCCTGGTCCTCCTCAAAACCAGAGTCACTTCAAGGCGCCGCATCCTCTCGCCCACTCATTTTTGTCCTGTTTCAGTCCGAACGGCCCCTCATTCCCGCCACCTCCGTCTTATACCACCCTAACTGCTCACCACCCTCCACTTTCCAGATACCCCCACATCGGCTCCCACAAGACCTCGCCATTCCTCTCCAGAACAGCTAGGTCAAGATTCTTGCCCCTCTCCCACCCGTCATGTCTGCGATAAAAAAGGTTATCGCAAAAGTCACCTCGCCCGGTCATTCCCCAACGTCCTCCACTCACGATGCATCCCTCGAATCCCCGAAGCGTTCGCGCTCCCCCTCTTCCAGGAGTTCATCCACTCACTCTACCTCTACCTCGGTAGAACACGACGGCCACACTCAGCGTGATGGCGGCCGCAAGCCGAATCGTGTCTCTTCCCTCATCTCTCACATTCGTCCCCACAGCGCGCACTCAAAGCATCGCGAGCCCTTCTTCCCTGTCAAACGACACTCCTACAACTCCGCTCACGCGACCAACGGTTTCGTTCACAAAGACGCACACCCCGATGAGACCGCACATTCGCATCAGATTGTCAGGCCCAGCTCCGACCACAAGCTCTCTATGACCGAGGAGAAGGTCCAGAGGCAGGAAGACAGGGAGGTTCAAGATGAGCACGCCGCTCAGACTCGCAAGCAAAAGCATCTCGAGGCATGGAAAATCGTGCGTCGGCAGTCCATGTCACTCTCTTGACAAAAGCTAACACAATCCGTTCATAGGACCCCCTACGGGAGAGCTATGGCGATCTGCCGCTCAACCGGTCGCAGTCGCGGCACTATCTCCCGCTTCCGCACCCCGAAGGACGTACAGAGGACGGTAACAATAACGGTACCCCGAATGGCACTGAGGAGCACTCCGAGCAGTTACCCCTGACCCCTCTCGGAGAGATTGAGAACATGGCGCCGGGTACACGGGTTGCCTTCCGTGCGCGTGTGCACCACATCCGACCACTCGGTGAGTGTGCCGCTGGCCCTGCGCAATGCCCCGGGTGAGAACTGAGCTAATTCCGGCGCAGGTTCCAAGATCGTCTTCCTCCTCTTCCGCTACCGGCAGACCACCGTCCAGGGCGTGCTCACCGAGACGCCGGACGTTGTGTCGGCCAGCATGGTCCGCTGGGCCGAGGGCCTCAGTCGCGAGACGATTGTCCGCGTCGAGGGCATCGTTCAGGAGCCGCCGAAGGAGGAGGGCCAGGAGGAGGTCAAGAGCGCGAGCGTGCACACGCGCGAGGTCCGCGTCCAGAAGGTGCGTCGCCGCCTGAGCCCGTGCAGGGCGATAACGAACGCCACACTGACCCTTTCTCCTTCTTCTTCTGCACCCTGCAGCTGCACGTGGTCAGCAAACCGTCGACGCCGCTGCCGTTCCAGGTCGACGACATCTCGCGCCCGCACGACGTGCAGGAGCGCAGCCAGCACAGAGTCGGTGACCGGACGCGCTTCGCGAACCGCGTGCTCGATCTCCGCGTAAGCTGCATTATGCTTGCATTACTTGGCGAGCGCTTGTGCTGACACAGCCAATTTCTAGTCGCCCGCGTCGCAGGCCATATTCCGCATCCGCGCAGCCGTGTGCGAGCTCTGGCGCGAGGCGCTACTCGGGCGCGGATTCGTCGAGATCCAGTCGAGCAAGTTTCAGGGCAGCGGAACCGAGTCCGGCGCAGCCGTACGTTCTCCCCCCCCCTCCTTTTTTGTGGCTGTTTGAGAGACTGACGGCTCGTTTTCCGCAGGTGTTCAAGGTGGACTATTTCCGCCGACCGGCGTTTCTTGCGCAGAGCCCGCAGCTTGCAAAGCAGATGTGCATCGCGGCCGACATGGAGCGCGTGTTCGAGATCGGTCCCGGTAGGTGTCGTTTTTAACGCGTGAGCGGCTCCTCGCGCTAATCTCGCGCCTCTCCCTCGCAGTGTTCCGCGCGGAGAACTCGAACACGCACCGGCACTTGACGGAGTTCACAGGCTTGGACCTCGAGATGTCGTTCGAGAACCATTACCACGAGGTCCTGGACGTCATTGACGACACGTTGAAGCATATCTTTAAGGGTTTGCAGCAGCGGTTTAGGAACGAGGTGCGTCTTTGCGTTATCCGAAGTACGGAGCGGCAAAGTAACGGGCTTCACACACAGATCGAGACCGTCAAGTCCGCTTTCCCACATGATAACTTCGTTATCTTGGACGAAACGCCTCGCATTCGCTTCAGCGACGGCATCAAGATGCTCAAGGACGCTGGCTTCCGCGAGGACGATGGTTCTGAACTCACGGACGAAGATGACCTCTCGACAGCTGCGGAACGCAGACTTGGCGCGCTCGTCAAGGAAAAGTACGGCTGCGACTATTACATCCTCGACAAGTTCCCGGTCGACGTGCGTCCGTTCTACACGATGCCGGACCCGGAGAACCCCAAGTTTTCGAACTCGTTCGACATCTTTGTGCGTGGCGAGGAGATCCTCTCGGGCGGACAGCGCATACACGACGCGGTGATGCTCGAGGAGCGCATGCACAAGGCAGAGGTCGACCCAGAGACGATGATGGAGTACGTCAACGGCTTCCGGTGGGGCTGCCCGCCACACGGCGGAGGCGGTGTCGGCCTCGAGCGCATCGTCATGCTCTTCCTGAAGCTCGGCGACATCCGGTGGGCGAGCCTGTTCCCGCGTGACCCGCGCAGCTTTGGCACGCGCGGCCAGGACCCCGAGGAGGCGAGCATGGCAGCAGCTGCGAAGCTCATCCTGCACGGTCCCGAGAGCAAGACGCTCCAGCCTGGTCAGAAGCGAGGCGAGCTGCCTCCGCTAGAAAACGTACGTTGTCAAGTTTTGGTTGCGACATTGTCATTGACGTGTCTGGATACAGCTCATTGCGCGATACGGCGACGCGACGAACACGTCCTGGGTCGACCCGGCGTGGACAGTGTGGCGTGACGACGCGACGGGTGCGGCGATTGGCTACATCCAGCAGGGACACTTTGCGGTCATCTTCGGAAAGCCGCTGTGCGAGCCGAACCAGATCCCGCGTGTCGTGAAGGCGTTCCTCGCGTTCCTGCGCTCGCCGCAGATGGACCTGAAGCCGATCTGGTGCTGCGTCGACAAGAGCACGGAGCGCTACCTCGCAGAGGAGCTCGGGTGGAGCGCGATCGTCGCCGTCGCTGAGGAGCGTGTGAACCCGATGGCAAAAACCCCCGAGGCTGACGACAAGACGGTGCGGCGCAAGATCCACCGTGCGGAGCGCGAGGGCGTGAAGATCCACGATGTGAGCGGCGAGCCCGACGAGGAGCTCCGCAAGCAGATCGAGGAGCGCTGTCGGGACTGGGAGGCCCACCGCAAGGGGACGCAGATTCACCTCACAGGCGTGCGGCCGTTCGATGACGTCAAGCACCGCAAGTACTTCTATGCAACTGACAAGGACGGCAAGGTGCGTCTTGTTCGCCTCTTGTTCGCGTCCCTGCACGACACTGACGTACTACGCTTCCACTCTCCGCAGATTTGCGCGCTCGTCGTCCTGGCGCAGCTCGCGCCGGTCCACGGCTTCCAGATCAAGTGGGCGCTCGAGTATCCGGGTGCGCCGCTTGGCGCGATCGAGCACATCGTCGCGTACGTGATCCGCAAGTTGGGCGACGCGGGCGTACGGACCGCGACGTTTGGTGCGGGTGCCGCGAACCGGCTGCAGGGTGTGGACAACGTGGGCGGGTTCCGGATGAAGACCCTCGAGAAGGCGTACAACGGCATCAGCTCGACGTTCCACCTCTCCAACAAGGGCGACTTCCGCGGCAAGTTTGGTACCGAGCAGGACCCGCTGTACATTTGCTATCCCAAGGGCAGCCTTGGTGAGTTATTCTTTCTTGGCATATTCGAGAGGAGGAAGTGCTGACGCGAGTGTGCGTAGGTGTGCGAGGCATAGAGGCTATCATGTCTGTTCTGCAGAAGCCGAAGTAGAGCTCCCGACGCTCGGATTATATACAAGATACGTTACACCTCCCAGACGGACAGATCGCACTGCCGACGGACTCGACCCCTCCTACAATACATCCCTCTACAATACATCCCCGTATATTTCCCTCCACTCATCTCTTCCTTCTCAAGTCACTTACGCCAACCATACACTACCTTAACGAGCTCCTCATGTAGTACGCACTGGGATAGATACCCGAACTCCCTGGGCATATCTCTCGTCCTCCACACAGCTTATCTTTATACTCGCACTTGGGCAGATTCGGTTCTCGCTCGCATTTACTGTCTCCCGTCCCCTCCTTTCATATCATGACACGATAATGTAGCATTCCCTGTTTTTTTCTCTCTCTTTTTGCTAGGATCTCGTGTGTGTAGTTTTATCCTGTTTTTTGTGTTTGCTCTCTGGGTGTACCGGCTCTTCGGTAGGGTTAGAATGCTTATGTCATGTGTTTTAAGATTAGACGAGTTGGAGGTGTGGAGCGCGAGAGGAGATGTCGCAGGTACGTCTCGGTCTACGTTTGCGCCGGGCTGATGCGTTCATAACCGCTCCCGGGCCTGGACAACCTGCACTCGATGATAGCATAGGTATTGGGAGCTCCATGCTTTCGCGCACGAACGTTGGCTGTCTGGCCAAGCTGGAGCTCGCTCCACGCTCATCTCAGACGCTGCGTAAAGTTGCGCCGGCAACGCGCTGAGCGCGCCCTTCTCCCCCGACCTTCTCCCTCGACCCCCTCGTCATCCTCTCGGGAAAATTCGTACTTCGAGGTCACTGATGACAGCTTTGATGACGACGTTGATGACGACGTGAGGTGATCCGGCCCTCTTGTGCGCGGTCGTCGAGCTCCTTTCGAAGATGTCAATGTTGCAAACTTCGGCGTAGGAGCTTCCAGCCCGGTGGAGCAAAGAGAACGTCGACGTTGCCATGGCCTAGACGTCCGGTGTTACGTCGGCAGCATCAGGCTCCCCCAGTGCCGTGAGAGTACCTGCGCCGGCCGCGTCAGCCTTGGTCGTTTACAACTTCATGCATGCGCTGCGAATAAGAACTAGAGTTTTTTTTTTTATAGCTTTTGGCATGTGTCACTGGGTCGATCTTTGGCTAACTTTACTCTTGTAGAACGTCGAGCTTCCTCCACCCCCTTTAGTTGGGTTCCAGCGTATGGACATCAGTGTGCTTGCCACAAGGAGCTGCCGCTGCTGGCCTGGTAAGCGGCCCAGTATCGATGGGCAGGCCGTCGGCAGACATGTCTACCACGCGGTTCGGCTGCTGCCTACTCTTTTTTCCCTACGCATCATACTGTGTACATCTAGGGTACATCTGCAGTGACTACTCCCTGCTCAGATGATAATCGTGCCGACTGTCGCATTGCGCCGTTGTGCAGCTGCCTCGGGATAGTTGGCAGCTCTTAGATACAGAAGTGTCACAACCATAGCTTAGTGAAGCTCGTTGTCGTGCAACAGTTCTTGACAGTCACTCATTGCGCGCAAGCCATGACGCTTGTGCTGTCTGGCAGCGTACCAAGAAGGCGAGAAGGCAGTGCGCCGGCGTTCTCTTCTCTCAAGTGCTCTTGCTGCACGCGCAGAATGACTAAGATCCGATGGTGAGCCTCTGCACGCCGCGTGCGATGATGTATAACGCTTGCTCGCGATCTCAGGCCGCTTCTACTAAAAGGCCTGAAGTCCATTTTTGCGCGTCCACGTTCACTGTATCAAGCTTCTCCACCGTGGCACTTATCTGGCCGTGAATGATTATCCAATTTCAATCCTGCTGCGCTTTGTTCAAAAGCTTGAAGTCCACGGCGCCTTGCAAACAGTACTGTATGATCGGAGTGCATTTTTTTTCTTGTTTCATTTTTGTTCTATTATCCCTGTTGTCTAAAGTTTACAGCCTTTTGCGAAAAGCTTGACAGTGCGGAAGTAAGGCTCCAACTGTTTTGTTTGTTTACTGTGTATAAACGTTTATTACTGTTTACTGTTTCCGTGTGTGTAAATGAAGTCATATAAACTTGGTGTAAACGTTTATACACAGTAAACATACAGTTTCCTCTTGTTGTTTGTAAAAGGTCTTAGTGTTGTACATTCATAGTCTTGCTAACAGACTTGACCTTTATTGGGCTGAAGAGTGCATCGCACCGCCTGTGCATCGTCCTCGGGCGGCCTCTTTGAACCCCCAAGCCCGGTGCACTGTATCAAGCGCCTATGCCCTGAGACTTACTGGGAGTAATGGTAGTCATGATCCTAACTTGTATTGAGCACAGTCTGAAGGCGAGCATTATAAATATAACATAATGTGTATTTATTGACTGCTCCTCTACATATAGTCTACTGTGGGCACTGGCAGCCTGCCTGCAAGAGTGCGGTATGCGGGAATGTTGTGAGCCCATACTTCATTCAAGAGGAACAATATTAATATTAGTTCAACCTCATTGAGCAATGACAGTACCACATATGATACCAAGGCAAATTGACTCTAAAAAAGGGCTATCAGAGGTCCGCACCCATGTGGCAGTCTTCTTTAGGCCAGCTCTCGAAGTCCTAGCGCGAGAGTATGTTGTGTCACCCCCGAAGTGCCAGGCTAACACTTGCATAGGTTATTGGCCCACTTCTCAATGATGAGGTCAATGATAGGACATGCCAACCTTCTAAAGGCGGAACCGCAAGCTTCTTACAAGCCCCACAGATACCTTTGTAGGTCTTACCCTTGCAGTACAGTGCTGCCTGGCAATACCACTCCCACAGCTTGTGATTGCCAGTGTTTGTCCTCCCGCAACCTCCACTGGCCGATCGAGACTATTCGTGTGCCCGCAATCTGCGTACTATGTGTAGGGGACACCAGCGGGCCATAGGGATGACCATAGCACGATGCTTGAGGTACGGAGTGTTCAGATGCTGCCTGATGGCCGGTCCGTGCTCGGGATGTGATGCACGCATTGCTCCTTCCCTGTACGCATGAGTAGGTGCACTATCTATACACGTTTGAGTTGGGCCTAGTGTTTGGGACATCAATATCGTAAGTAAGAAGCTGCGGCCTCGCTTTTCTCTCGCGCCTCAAGCAAGCACCTTGCGTTGCTCAAGTACTGACATTTGTACCTCTCTTTTCAGGCTCAAGTAGAGCAGTAGGCTCACACAGGTTTCTCAGAGGCTAATCTGGCACAATCCACTAGAGTGGGTTAGATCCCTGTAATAACTGTTTGTTTACTGTTTATAAACTGTTTATAAACATTTACAACCGTTTACTGTGTGTTTACAAAAAAAGTTTACACGTAAACTAAACAGTTGGAGCCTTATGCGGAAGGGAAGAGATTAGAAAAGAAGCATAGGACACGTGGGCGCATTCGACCTATGGGGGCGCCTCGTCTTTTATCTTCCCTTCCTGCCTACCGTCAAACTCCCTGGCGGGGAGTCGAACCCCGCTTTCGCGCGCACCCTTCATGATGACAAGCGCGTGTACTAACCGATATACTACCAGGGATAAATGATAAGCTCTACATGAATACCATCACATCTAGGCCGCCTTTGAACGCCGTTATGGGAACGGACATCCTTGTGGCGTTGAGTACCCCGCTTTCGGACCATCCCGGTGAGCTTGTCCGCCAGTAAGCAATCCTGCACTCACGGCATCTACTCTCTTTAGGAAATAACGAACGGCGATACATTCGCAGGCGTTAACTTGGAGGTACCAGAAGTCCCGGCAGGGCTGCGCCATCATCTGCAACGGCATTAATCCGAGTGTTACGAAACGCCCAGAGAACGTAAGAGCGCCAGGTGTGGTAGAACAGTTCTCGAACTGCGCGAACAGACCGCCACTGAACCGTCCGGTTCAACTGGTTCGGCTCAGCACGCAGGCGTGTTTTGTCCACGCAGCTCGAACCATTTGGATCAATGGTTCGCGATGATCACACGACGAGTCACTGTGCTTCACATGGTAAGTTGGATACCAAATCATACCCCCAATTTCATCGCAAGGTACGAACAGCTGCGTGCCCAAGATATCTGCGACACGCATTCCGCAACACGTTCAGTTCGCGTGCGCGATTTCACCGCGGACAGAGCATGCACCATCATTTTACCGTGCTATTGCGGACCGTCAAGGCAACACATTTTTCGAATACGTCCGCGAGCACGAAGCCGCAGGTGCTTGAGCTCAGTTCGACCCGTTGACGGTCCTTCTGATGCCGAGAACAGCAAAACCCGCAGGAGTTTCAGCTGATGCTTCGAGGGAGCACTGCTTTCTCCGTCTTACGTGGATTTCCTTTTTTTCATTTTGGGCCCGTGTTCCGCTCGGAGAAGGCTTTTGGCGGATACTCTTCCGCTGCTGTCGGCGTTGCGGACACTCTGCCGTCCATCTCACCTTTGGCGCTGCAAAATTGTGGCAGACAAATTCAACGAACATACTACATCAGCCCGCGGTGCCGCAGGGGCGCGCCGCGGATCTATACTCTAACGTCAGAGCGCACGGCAACGCCTAAGATAGCATGTTTTACCCAGCATCTCCCGCTTCAGAGGTCTTGATCTCTATCGCTAGCCAAATGAGGGGACAGATGCGCACCATGTGCGGTTACGACCGCGCTCGATCTTTGCGAGACTGTTACGGCACGCACCAGGCTGGTGCACAGCCCGTAACAGATGGGTTAAGGCGACGTTCTATGCACATTTGAGCAATCAAAACAGGACAGGGCCGGAACCCAGTGCGACGCAAGGTGCGGCGTGCTCGCTGAGGGCCACGATGCAGCTGAGGTGAGATCCTCCCAGCCGTACCACACGGACATTACCACTTCCGTAGCAGGCACACACCAGATAGCAATATTGCACGAACCTGGTACCCTGACGCGACCCTGAGAACGTCGCTGCTCGGGAGTTCAGGCATCTGGCGCAAACCGGCGTGCGACTGCTTCGTAACAAGATCCTTGCATGCCCGATCAGCAATTTTGACCACGGCCGTCATGTGCGATGCGTGTGTTGAACGGCGCAACAGGCACCGGGAGTTGCTACGGAATATTCCTTCAAGGTATCACGGACCGACCTCGAACGCGAAGTACGATCGGCGTATTCTCACAGCGTGATGCAAGAGTCTGCTCGGAAACCACCGTGCACTGCGTTGAAAGACACGGCCGTGGCAACAGGACAAACATATCCAGGCTGATGTAGTAGTCAATATCAAGAGTCACAAATGCGGTTGTGTGTGAAGTGATAACAGTGTTCGGGGATAGGCTTGCTGCGAATCAGACTATGACACCCTTGAAGGCGTGGGCATCAACTGCTCAAACACAGCTAGGAAGTTGAGAACGCACTGCTGTGTTATGGCCCTTCCCCTATCTAATGTATGGAATTAGGAGTCTAAGCGGCACGCTCTTGAGAATATCCTGCATCGCGGTACAGCATGGAAGTCTGCCAGTACTGTAGCGAAGTGCTAGAAGTGCTTGAAGTGCTTGACAACCAATGCACGCGGGAGCACAGTCGACACGCTGAACTTTGTCGGTCTATCTCTTCAATTCCACTGAGTATTCAGGATGACCTCACCGGAGGCCACTCTGAAGTCGTGTGTTCTACTTCTGGCTTTATTCAGTACACGTCCTCGTCGCACTCTCTCCTTCACGCCTCCCACCAAGAGTCTTCTCTGAACCTTGTCATATTACTTAGTCGTCTCGGTGTCACTAACAAAAGCCACCGTTAGCCTTTGGCCACCCTGGATCGCTCGGTGTCGGTCATGCAACTCGGTGTCGGTGTCTCTTTTTCTCTTTCCTTTCTGAATCTTTCGCTGACGTATGCACCTAGGCCGTTCCTCGGTTCTACAGGTTCTATACCTGCTGTCCTAGGGTGTACGTATCCTGGCAGAACGTGAGAATTAAGGGCATATATCGCGAGAAGCAGCGGGCGACTGGGGCCAATAAACGCGACGCGCCGCGGTCACCTGACTCTGCCCGATACAGCTTCCAGAGCTGTGGGGACGCAGCTCGACTTGAGAGACTCGACCGCCTGGCTGTGTCCTGCCGGGCCGAGAGGGGGGGCTCGGGCGTGCAATGCCCAGGTATTCTCATGCGTTTACTGCGGCTTGGACACAATATCTGGTCGCGTGAGCGTCAGCGTGAGGTTCGAAGACGGCCTCTCGTAATGGCCGCATCCACGCGCAGGTCCGTCTGCGCCATCCGCTACCTTGAAAAGTCAACCATCTTGACTTTTCTGCTGCCACGCCTGGATACCACAGATATAGCTAGATCGTCTGCCGTTATTGGCAGAGTTACTAGCCGATCTGGTGAGACACGCCGCGAGCGAGCTTCACGGCGATCTCAGGGATGTCTCCGATGTTGGTGGGACAGGCAATTCCCAGCCTCGATGTCTTTCGTGAGCTCCACCGTGCGCGTGCAGCAGACTATGGTCGACAATAACGAGAACATACATGACCCGGAAGCGAGCTGCAGGGGTGATTCCCGTCTTTTGTCAGAGGCTCCCTGCCCGTCTGATCGGGCACGGAGACAAAGCGCAAAAGATATTCCCCCCGGTCCCGAATGATGAATGAAATTCAAAGTCAATACCCTCCGCGAGGGCGGATCTGAGTGGCGCGTCACGCCTGTGGAAGAGAGGTTTTGGCCGTATAGGTGAGAAAGTTGACCATGCAGCTGATGTCACTTTGACTACCGCCGACGAACTAAGTCGCCCACGAAGTCCCACGCAACACCGCCGCCAGATATCACATCGTAGACACACGGGAACAATTAGGTGAAACGATCTTATTGTAAGACTACTCAACCGGTCATCTCCAGTTGAAATCTGATGCTACCATATGATTTATACTACTGGCATACGAGGACTTAATGGGTAGTGTGTGATGTGTAAACGAAGACAAGAAGCAAGACCGTGCCGGACATCGAGGCGGCACCTGTGAGGATTTTGAGGGGAGAGTAGGTCAGGAGGATACAATAGAACGGGCAGTCCAGAACGAAATGGCAACTACCCAGCCACAGGACACAGCCTGGTGGAGTACGATAATAGTTCTAGAGAGGGTTGTGTGGTGAGGCGAAATATAGGCTACAGGGCGAAGGGACTGTCAGCTAAAGTGCATCAATGATACAGATAACGTATGAGCGTGGAGGTGAGGGAAAAGTGGGTCATAGGGAACGAATAGTGTTTAAACCGTCCGGCGAGCCGTGCGCGACGATCAGAGTTCACAGTTCGCGATCTCTTGCTCAGCCTCCAACGCGGTGTGCACACGCTCGTGACGTGGGAGCATGTGTACCCTGTAGGGCATAGGGGTGCGACCAGAAGTACCCTCGTATTCCTCTAGCGAGATCGGCTCGGTCGGGACTTCGTGGATGGTAAATGCCCAGAGCAGTCGGGAAATGGCGAGGAAGAGAATGCGCTCGGCGACATTGATGCCTGGGCAAATCCGACGGCTGTAGCACACGCTCATGAGACATTGTCGTGTGTAAGACGGGGAGAAGGTTGAACCTACCCGGCACCAAACGACCAGTGATCGCGCTCCATGGCATTGGACTGGTGTGCCGACTCTGCACAGCTCATCTCATCTCCAAGATAACGATCAGGGTTGAAGGCATGACTAGACAGGAGCGTCAGACAAATTGCTCCGCAGACAATAAGAATGGAAGTGCGGGAAAACGTACGGATCAGAGTACCGGGCTTCGTTGTGATGGAGCGTGAAGCAGTTCAAGATCAACGCAGAGCCCTTGGGAATGTACATTCCATTGTATACGAAGTCTTCTGTTGAGCTGTGCGGCGTTGCGTTCCAGAACGGCGCGTGGACGCGCAGAACCTCCTTGATGATCGCACGAATAAAGGGCAGGTCCTTCTCATCCTCGGCCACGGGCCAGCGATCCCTGCCCACGACAGCGTCCAGCTCGTGGTGGGCACGTGCCTGGATATCCGGGTGCTTGCCAATGAGGGCGAGGAACCACTGGATAATGCCGGAAGTCTATACGGGAGAGGGGTGGAAATTGCAATTAGCTACCGCCCTCTATTGTCCTGCCAACACGTAACCGCTCACCGAATGGACGCCGCCGATGGCAAACGCAGCAGAGAGCATGCACATGTCTTCCCAGTCCAGCTTCTCCTGCTGCTGGCCCTCAATCAAGACCTTGGCGAGGCAGTGCGGGACGTCCTCGCCCGCGTCCATGCGCGCCTTGACGGCCATGATCATCGCGCCATACACCTCAATGAATTCGCTGTGCAGCTTCTCGGCGCGTGCGTGGGTCCTGTTCGGCAGCCACTGCAGCGGTTCGATGAAGTCAACGAGGTTCGCAAATGGCCCTGATATCCAGTTATCTCAGCATTTTCATCTCTCACACAGCCAAGGACGGAGATAGCCCACCTGTCAAATCATTAAATTCCAGCGCCATGGCCAAGATGCGTTGGATAAGCGGATCCGAACTGGAATCCGTACGGGTGGCAAAGGCCAAGGTAAGCATGTTGCTGGGAAGCCGTTGTAAGTAACACAGCATCCATCCATCATAAGATTTGAACTCACTTGAGTGTGTAACGACCGGTGTAATGAGCGGGGTTAATTGGGAGGGCACCTTGCATAGATTCCTTATACATAGACCTAATCATAATGCGAGCCTCATAATCGAGGACATCGTTGTAGCCCTGAATCGCCTTAGGCGTCAAGAGCTGAGCCGCAACCTTCCGGTGCTGACGCCTGGAATGACGGAGGTTGGAGAAGACAGCGACTTCAAGCGCAGAATAACGTACCAAGTCTCGCCATAGGGAGAAGCAGAGATAGCACGACCCCTCAAGATGGTCTGGTTCTTGATGAAGTATTGCTTGCGACTCGAGAAGATAGCGCCGTTGTTGACGAGGAGCTCGCGAGCAACATTGGCATCGGAGATGACGATGTAGAGCTGATTGCCGATGAAGAAGGAGTAGAGTGAGCCGAACTTCTGGGCCCATGCATGCAGGGTACGCTCAGGATAGTCCGGGAGGGAGGGGAGTCGAAGGAGAGGGCCAGGGGGGATCGAGTTTCCGTTCTTGTCGACGATGTTTTTGCGGAAGAAGAAAGGAAGGACAATGTACAGGGTGGCGGCTACAATGAGTACAAATGTCAAGTTCGCATCGAGGTTCTGAGTGAAGGTAACGTCAGTGAGCAGCTCAGGAGGACGACGACGACTAGCACGTACAACCGCACGGAAGTGGAGCGGCGCGGTGGAGACGATGCTCATGGCGAAGAGGACGAACCCAAAAGTAATGGAACAGAAGGGAGAAGAGGTCAAAACGGTCGCAAAATGGAAGGTGTTCGCAACGCGGCTTTTATGCATCGAAGCCACACGCCCGACTCGAGATAAACGCGGAGCGCGAGTAGTCACACACGTATGTCGGCCGTGAGGCATGTGAAGGTAGGAGGCCTGTGCGACCTGATCGTGCGAGCCAATCTGGATGGGTTGAAGAGATCTCCATCGGTTAGGATGTCGTCAAAAGAGTGTCCGAGGAGTTGGGTAAAGAAGTGACCGGGCGCTGCGGACGCGTATCTGACAAAAAATCGGAATCACTGGTTGTGTATCCGAGTGTATCCCTTGGGCGGATTGATCGCGACCCAATTTTGACCTTATTGTCCGCGCCCAGCGTCAAGCGGTATGTTACCCGCCCTACGCATGCAAAAATGCAAATAGTCGCCTTTATTAAACGGACAATAAGATCAAAGATTCACACTCACCAAGATGAGCCGTGCCGGCTGTGATGGCGGGCGGAGGGATGCCGTGTCGCGGAGTGCGCGCATCTCGGCGTTCAACACTACTCCTTACGGATCGAGGCGGCAGTCGTCACACGGGAGCGAGCGCGTTTGAGTGTCAGGCGTGCCGTAAAGTGAAGTCCGCACCTGAGGGCTGGGGGCGGATCTTGGACATCGCGACACGTTGACAGAAGTTGCACGTACCGCAGGATCCGCACCTTTGCAATATTGGCCGGATTAATCGAGATCAAACGGCGGCAAAACGCGTTGTACGCCACAACAGGGTGCGCACAATACGCTTGAGACACGAGCTCGTATTGTAGGGTCGACGAGCTGAACACCCTTGGGTCGAGGTGGACCGCCCAGATGACGACCCTAGTTGCCGCTTTCACGCGTACGGGGCTCAGCTGTGACCGCGAGGGCGCGAAAGCCTAGCGCACCGGCTTGAGTCATGCCTTACTTGCGGCATAGGAAACGGCGACGTCTCGAGAAGCATGCTGAGACAGGAACGCCGGTAATTCTGGACGTAGCCTAGATTTTAAGCGAGGATGAAACTACCGGTAGTACGACGCCTCCAGCGAAGCATGCCTTGGGTATGCGTGCTTGGCGGGATTGGCTGCCTGGACAACGGCAGCTCATGCAGATGGCGGGGCGGAGGAGTCCTTGACTTGGGCACAACGATTTCGGCCGCATTTCGTTCGCATTCGCACGGCGTAGGCCACTGGTACCAGACGCTCAAGCGCAACCCTGTGACCGTGAGAATTATGAGCGCCATGGGCGCCTCAAGGACTTCCAATGGAATTCCGCGCCATCAGCGCTCTCAGCTCCCGCGCCGTAGCGCGGTATGCAAGCGCCGCAGGGCGGGAGTCGGACGCGACGGCGACGCGACCCTTCACATAAAATTCTCTCCGAGATCTTCGTCGATTCTTGGCCGCCGCGACGACCTGCACAGCCCACCGGCTCATGTCCTCCAACGTAAGGCGCCGCCGCTGCGCGAAAATCGCACAACACGAACCAAACCACGCTCGGCGCTCCGTCCTCGTCTTGTTCCCCAAATTTCTCTATAAACGTTTGCTCTGAGGCTCGTGTCGTCCTCTTCCCCACCCCGCTGCTTCCCCTCCTCCGGCGTGTCTTCGTGCTGTCTCCTGTCTCCTGTCTCTCGCTCCGCGAATTCCACCTCTCGGCGCGAGCTGCTTGCTCAGCTCATCGCCCGCTAGACCCTCTTGAGCATCAGGCCACTCATTGCCTTGATCAGAATACTGTATAACATGGCTCAAGCGCTGTCAACATCACACGGTCTCTTGGCCGTGGTGCTCCTCAGGCTTCCCTCGCTTCTTTTCCTCCCAAACGTGTCTTCAGACTTGTGCTACTTTTACACGCTCCCTCGTATGACTAGCCCTACCAGGTAGCTGGCTTGTTAACTGCATCGGTTATTAACTATAAGCCTTTGAACGTTATGCGGGACACTGCGTGCTATCTCCCCTTTACGACCTTGCAAAACCTTCGCATCTGACAGGTTGACGACTGATTTCGCTTCAAGCGACGCAAGACTTTCTCTTCAGAAAGGATCCCCGACTGTGCCCGCCCTCCCATTCAGTGCCATCAAGAGGGTGGCATGTGCAATTTTCCTTTCTGAGACTTTTGCTTGTGTCTCCTGTGTCTGTGTGTCTAGGCGTTCATCAGTCTCGCGTAATGTTTGGCTTCATTCAGCAAGTCTTCTCCGGGTATGGGCTCGCCCTGTATCCACCGAGGGTGCCACTCGAGGGCGTATATTATACGCCGCTTGCGAGTCAAACTCCCCAAGTCGTCTCACCCTCCACACCTTGGACCAACGATCGGCACTCCGTCTGGAGAACGAGTCGTTGACCCGTCAATCCGCCCTGACTTCACATAACTAGTCGAGAGGTGTGCATGGATACTCACTTGTGCTCTTGAGATTGAGTTCGAACATAAACGCTTCTCCACAGTGTGAATCCGTGCCCATCAATCATTCTCCACAATGGCTAAGCACGATGTTCCTCTTGACATCACGTTCCTTGTGTCAATCTGGCTCGAGGTATGTGGCTCTGACATTCGGCTCGCTGCGCGACATATCTGACCGCTACTCTTTTCGCCACAGGCCCTGGTTTATGGTACGCCACCAGGTGGTTTGCAAAGAATACGCTCGCTCATCTTTCTGCGACAGGCTTCTTCATGTGTCTGTTCTGCGCCTCCGTTTACATCAACGTAGCGTTGCGCAGGGCGCAGGACGTTCACAGTAGGGTGAGTACGAGTGGCTTCGGCTTAGCATGTGCAATGTCTCACGCTTTCGCAGGTCATGTTCGGCATCGGTATCTTGCTATTCTTCATGGCTTCAATGCATGTCGGTGCGTCCTTTTCCATCCTATAGCACGTAACGAATACTGAACTCTGTCGTGCAGCCATGAACTGCTACCGCATGGTGATGGCGTATGTCATCAAGCGCGACGCCCCCGGAGGACCGGCTGCCTACATCGGTGCTTTGGCTCCTTGGGACCATGTCTTCAAGGATACTATTTATGCTACTCAAGAAATATTCGGGGATGCGGTTGCCGTAAGTGTCATTCTTTTCAAATTGATGCCTCACCGTTAACACTTGCGCCTAGATTTACCGCACCTGGGTCGTTTGGGGCAGGGACTGGAGACCAATTGCACTTCCCTCTGTTCTACTCGTAGTTAGTCTGGGTGGGTATCCAAGCTTCGTGTACCTTTCCATCACTAACGTCGGCCCTTAGTCTCTGGCTACTCGGTCTGTGGTCTCTACACAACCGAGAGTAGCTCCGCCAGCGTCTTCGACCCCCGCCTCCTCCGCTGGATCACCACCTTCTATGCCATCTCTGTCGTCCAGTCCGGTCTGACCACCGGCCTCATGGCCTACAGGATCTGGCAGACGGACAGGAGGTCTATCAAGTTCCGCACGAACCAGGAGGGCAACCTGATGCCGATTCTGCGTATCCTCATTGAGTCTGCGTCCATCCAGTTCATGGCGGAGGTCATCCTCCTCTCGCTCTATAGTGCCAACTACAACGCGCAGTACCTCCTGCTCGAGCTCATTACACCGCTGGTCGGCATCACCTTCAACGCCATCTCGGTCCGTATCGCGCTGCACCAGTCGGAGATTATGCAGAACGCCTCCAAGAGCTTCGGCGCCATAGAGTCAGCGGTTCCCCACGCGATCAACCCGGTGGCCACCATCGGTTCGATCCCCATGCGCAGGATGAACCCCACGCAGTCGATCAACATCCAGATCAAAAAGGATGTTGAGGCATTTGGCGATCACCAGAGCGGCGACACCGACTTCGTCGACTTCGAGAGGAAAGTACACGATGAAGAGATCGCACAAGTCCAATAAACCAGCCTCGCCACATACCAATATTACCCATTCCTGTCGTTGCTTGTTTGTAATTCACTACGCATTTTTGCTTTCTCTCTCTTTCATATTCCACTCGTTTAGCATTGTCTCGTCAACTTTGTATAGATTTCATGCTGTGAACAACCTGGAAGCTAATTGCAATAAACACGGAATTCGGAATAAAAAAAATTGATACCTGGACGATATGGTCGCGAAAACGCGGAATCAGTAGACGGGAATGCATTTATGTGCTTCTGCGTTCCTCCCGAATAATGAGACAGGGCTGATGGCCGATCAGCAGCTTGTCAGCTAGGCAACCCGCACTCGCCCCGCTCAGGTGAGCTCATTTTTCGCCGTAGCACCACGCGCTTGCCGTGAAGAACCAGACCGCGGAGAACCTGCGCAGCGCAAGCGTGTCCGTCCGGCCATCGCCCACGGCTTCTGAACTCTCCTCACGACGTCCGGCTGAACAAACGGCCCAGCCAAGCCCCGTACAGACTGAATGGAGCGTTTTACACGCCGAGGTGAGTAAGGCCGCTATGGCGGAAGGCAGAAGCGCGAGCCGCCTAGGCAAATTTCCCGTCACAAGCAAGCCTACTGCCTCCGTAAGTTTCCTGGAAAGCCGTGGGACGATCCCTTCGGGAATAGCTCAGGGTTGGCAAGACTAAGTTTGCGTGCCCAAGGACAAGGACCCGCGTCTTTTTTCCCGCAACCATGACAGCGAGGGCGCGCCGCATATGGAAGAAGGCGGATTACGAGACAGTGTGGACGGACATATTCACGCTGGGAAGGCCTTGTTCACTGTGCAGGGGACGTATGAAAATAAGAAGTGAGATGTTTGAGTGAGTTGCGGGAGTGGCATGCGCTGGGGGAGATATCGAGGTGCTGTAATCTTTGTACCGTGCAACTGTCTGCACATTTCGGCAGGACAAGCTTCCCTGTCGCTCCACGACTTCGCGTAACAGAACTACGTCCATCACGAGTACGAAATAGATTACGAGCTTGCCCAGGGCTAGCCCATCGAACAACAAGGGGATTGCCTTTCTGGGAACTAGTGGCCGTAAACTAGCGCCCATCACCAAGCGTGGCGTTGACGTCGCGAAACTGTGCGCCCGCCGCCCGCCAGGAGCCTCCACGTCGCTCGAAACGTCGAGCTCGGGACTGTTGCTGGACGGCGTCCCAGCATCGGCATCTGAAACCGCTTGGGGTCGCTTGGCCGAGTCCCAGCAGGCGTGTGACGCAGATCAGTTCGTGGTAAGCGCGCCCGCAAACACCGTCCATGTATCGCTTCGCTAGTGATACAGGACGACTCTGATCTCTGATGTAAACTTATATAGCCGCCCCGGGGACTCAATTCAGAATTCAGATCTCGCGCTGAGGTATAAGACAGAGGCCCCCTCCCAACACGATTCCGCACCGAGACTCATTTCTCTGCCACTCCTTTACCTGTCTTTATCTACCACTTTTGTACAGAATCGATCCCGGACAGTAGCTAGCTATGCAGTCCATCTCCACCCAGCTCACCCAGCTCTTGAGTAAGTACACAGCCTCTCTCGGCATGGCTCCTCCCTAACTTCTTGCGCGCCAGATATTCAGAGCCCCATCCTTTGCGCGCCCATGGCGTTCGCTTCCACCGCCGACCTTGCTGCAGCCGTGACTGGCAAGGGTGGATACGGCCTCATCGGAGCTGGTATGTCATGGTGTATTTTTTAATAGCTGACCAGCTCATACCTTGCCTTAAGGCTTCGATACTTCCGAGCAACTCAAAGCGTCTCTGCGCTCTACGCGCAAGACCCTGAAGATCGCTGAGGATGCGCCACTTCCGATTGGTGTTGGCCTCCTCGGCTGGATCCTCGACATGACAGAAGCCTCGGAAGACCCTCGTATCCCTGCGGTCCTCGAAGAGAAGATCACCGCCATTTGGTTCGCTTTCGGCAACGACCTCGAGAAGCACGTCAACACCGTGCGCGAGTTCGACGCCAAGCGCGAGCACAAGACTAAGATTTTCGTATGCTGCAACTCCGTCGATGAGGCCATCCGCGCTGCAAACGTGTGGAAGGTCGACGTCATCGTCGCTCAAGGTTTGTTACACTTGCGTCTTCGGCTCGACTTTCTCACTAACGGAGAGAACAGGTGTTGAAGCTGGTGGTCATGGAAGCTCTCACTCTCCTCCGCTCCTTAACTTTATCCCTGCTGTCAAAGCTGCCCTCCCCAACGGCCCGCCTGTTGTCGCCGCTGGTGGTATCGCCACTGGTTCGCAGGTCGCCAGCTTGCTGACCATGGGTGCCGATGGCGTCGTCCTCGGCACGCGCTTTCTCTTCACCCCCGAATGCCAGTACACCGACCAGATGAAGAAGATCCTCGTCGAGTCTAGCTGGGAAAGCACCGAGCGCAGCAATGCGTACGATCAGGCCTTCCAGACCGACTTCTGGCCGTCCCACGTTGACGGCCGTGCCATCTCGACGAACGACGTCATGAAGGACTACAAGGCCGGTCTGCCCCTTGAGGAGCGTATCAACCGCTACAAGGAGGCGACCACTGCTGGCCAGGACTCTCATCTCATCATGTGGGCTGGTGTTGGTGTCGCACAAACCAACGATATCCGTCCTGCTGCGGTACGTTGAATGCTGCCATACGATGTGCGCGTTTACCGATTCCTTCCACAGGAGGTCTTCGAGGAGATCCACACTGACGCTGTCAAGAAGCTGCAAGAGGTCTCGGTCTTGCTGAAGTGAGGGTTGGCTTGACTAATTTAAACGGGTATAAGTTAAACGGAATTTGTTGTATCAAAAGTGTATCAGACAGGTCAAGGAACTCCTATACCCCCTCTGGCTCTTATCCTCCCCCTGGTTCTTCTCTCCCTGGTTCTTATCCCCCTCCTGAATCTTCTCTTCCTGGTCCATATCCTCCTCCTTCCCGTGTTGCTTCGCGCACATCAACTTCGAGCTCGCGGCGGCGGCTGCAGCGCACCAACCTCTTCTCTGTGTGCCAGATATTCTGAAGTTTCTTTTCGGGACTTCTTCGAAAAGTCGGACACTGTCTGGCACTGGGGGGCGCGCTGCTAGATCCTTACCCTACGGGCCTCTGTAATATTCTTGTAGATACTAATCTTTTCGGTATATATATATATATATATATATAACGGACACTAAGTTCATCATTGCGTGACCGGATGAGTCATATGTCCTTTGTGGCTGTCGCGGGTCAAATGTTTCGGTCGGTGTGGTTCGCATCAATTCCGCCCGGCATGGGCTGGGCTCGTTAGTTGCAACGAGCTCGCTTTGAGTCACGACGCCCACCACGCCGACTTTGCTCGGAGTCGTCTGTCTGACCCAAACCGATAGAACCATTCACCTGCAGTATAGCTGTCTTCGTGATGCACGATGTACACAGCCTCGGACACTACGGAGGACTACGGACGGATTATGATTAATGCAAGTAGTTTAAGGCAGATGCCCCTGAACAGGCTGACACCTCAGCTAGTAGACCAGGTATGAAGCAGTATTAATGAGGTATGTCGTCGGGGCGTCTTGAATTTCCGGCATGCTTCCAAGCTGAACGAGGCACGGTCTGTGCGCGTTGATCTGCTTGTTACTGCTTCGACTAGTACTAGTTGCCGCGCGGGTCCGAGCAGCTCTAGTGCATGTGGCAGGACCGCACCGGCACCGCGGGGGACAATTGACGTCGGCGCAGTATTGTATGAAGACTTGTAGATCTGACCCCTTTGCGCAGTGGCACCGAGATCAGGACCGACCTGCATGATCAGACATGTTCGTGGGGCCGTCTAGCCCAGTGGCGTACTCAATAAGATGATTAACACCTCGGAAGGTGGGCGTAGTTAATTTGGAGGGGCATGTCGTCCTCCTCTATTCGCTACCAGGCCTAGGAGGGGTCCTGTAAAAGCACTGTTAGCTCTCTGCGATCGATCCACGTTGCGGGATTCTGTACACATGTCGCAATCGCGGGAAACAGAGCGTCAGATGCTGCGCTAGGTGCCTCTGGCGAGTAATAACGACGCAGTTTCGGCATGTCGATAAGTTACCGTGCATGCCGAAGAATTCAGCCGCATTTACATGCTGGTGGTCCTGCGGTCATCCCAGACGAGCTTCCTCGACAATACGGTAAGACTTGTCTCATCTGTTGTTCACAAAGGCGAGAAGCCCGAGAGTCGGATGTTTTTACTAGCACTTCCCATTTCCATTCGGAAATGACACCCGAAACCAACGGAAAACAATAGCGCTGTTCTTCCAGTATATTTGTTCTTTTGAGCTCTCAGCTGCGATATCGCCCAATTGGAATATCCTGCGTAAATTGGCTTCTCATGGCGGACATTAGTTTTCGCTCATTTCTCTGCTGCTCGCTTTTTTTCCGCAGCTTTCAAACCTAAGACCCTCGTAGCCGGATATCGTTTGAAGCAGGTGTACCCATGGTGCGTCCGACTGAACATTGCATGAAAGTGCAAGCATCAATAGATAGGGTGTACTCATTATGTGACGCGCACAGCACTGAAATTATACTTGTATGCGGGTATCTGCGAAAGCAATTGCACAACAATGTCCTATGAGCCTACTCAGCGATTATGTTCAGCTGTGACGAAGCCTAGTCGTCGGCCTCTTCCGATAGCTGGAGCCTCTCAACACATATCCGGGCGACCAACTCCCCGTCAATTGGGATTTCGTTTCCCTGGAAGCCCTCGGGGTATGCAACAGGTGGAACGTCGGGTCGGGTAAACGCTCTGCGAAAGTGAAGACTGGTAAGATTCATGGCGTTTATTGCAGACGGAGCGAGCGTACCTGTCCCCCCAGAAGCCATAGTGGACCATGCCCAGCGCACGCGTTGTGTATTCGTAGTCGTGCGCGAAACCGCCGGGGTAGAAGAACTCCATAACGGTCGACCGTGGAGTGGGTCGCATCCACAGTAGCGAGGTCAAACCATTACCATGCACACCCATCATGATCTAAATGCGATCTAAGCAGTAGCTTCGACACACAGAGTGACGTTGACGTACCGTTGTCCTTCCGGCGAGAACCATCTGCTCTGCACGCGAGAGCTTGTCCATGCTGACGACGTTGACCTCGTAGCCATGGAAGTCCCTGAGCTTGTACAGCTCCTCCACGAGTCGCTCGTGGTGCTCCTGAATCAGCATACGGCGACCCCACCCTTGGCGAGAGATATATGTGATCACGGGGGTTCGCTCCCCATATTTTTGCAGGACATCCTCCGTCAAACCTGCGGCGCCGACGACGTGGTTCCGGACAGGCTGCCACCAGTTGACGCTCCCTGGCAAGGCGAATGCATTTCCGGCCGTCCGCTGGGTACGCAGGAAGATGTGACCGTGAATTGCAGCAGCACGGTCAGCCAAGATGGAGCGGTCAAGGACGTAGGTGTGGCCGCTATTAGCGCGCTCATTCCAATCGTCCATGAACTCCATGGTGATGGAAGGGAATGCGTTAAACAGAACCCATTGGTTCATTGCGGCATAGTCGCGCCAGTTAGCCGCGTCAATACGGGTCATAAGCATACGGCGTGGTGCAGGAAGGTCGGTCTCGCCGCTTGGCGGAATGTTAGGGTCGAGCGAAGAGTGAGTTCTCCAGAAACCGAAAATTAGCTCGGCGGACCAGTGGTAGTAGTGAGTGATACTGCGAAGCGTCAGGTTGGCCACCATTCCTAAGTGCAAAAAGCTGCTCACAATTGCTTGGGGTCGTTCGCTACCCACTTCAAAAGAAGTCAGGACGTAAAGCCACTATCAAAAGGCGTGATACGCACAGTAATACCATCCAAACGTTCCGCCTGTGTGCCAAGCAGCCCCCGGGCCTCATCTGTATCTATTATACGCATGTCCTTGTCGGTTGGAAGGCGTTTGGCTTCATCGGCAGTCCCAGTGGTGAGATAGATACCACTCGAGATTATGAGCTCCAGATCCGGGATCTCCTCCTTGTTCTCTGTGACGACGTAGAACGTGCCGTTTCTGAAGTAGAGTCTGTCGAACATGGTCCATCCTGAGCAAATGCCAACAATGAGTTCTCCCACTCTACGAAGGTCGTGACAAGGAGCGTAACAAGTCTGTCCCAGAGAAAGGGATATGACCAAAAAGTCGTGTGTCGTGTGAAAAGAATATGTGTAGTTAGAGTGCACATAGTCACGTACCTGGGACATGTACCACTATATCAGTCTCCGGGACCTGACCCATCCCCCAGACTAGAGGTGCGCTCAGTGATTGCAAGGAATACTTCGATTCCAGCGTGACTGGCGCAACGTCTTCTGTCTCCTCGCCATACAGATTCGACCGAAGCCTGGTACTGTCGGACAAAGATCCGCCTGGCGTTTTGTATGTTGTTGGGAAGGTGAGAAGGAAGACCAGCAAGCCTCCAAGGAGGAATATTTCCCGTACTGTTGGCATAAAAGGTGGCATGACGGTCTACGCGGAGCAGACTGAGGGCATAAAGGTTCTCCTTCAACGGCTTGGCGTATCTCCAAGGTTCGTGTCCCGGTAGGAAAAGTGGAATTTACTGGACGGCAAATTGAAGGACGTGTTTGCTAGGAGCAAAGAATGAAGTAGACAGCTGTAAGCGCCTGCAGAGCTTTTGGCCAGATAAGATAAGATAATCCTGACCACGTGATTATCGCGCTGCGTCTCGAATCCCATCCCCCCCGCACGAACTGTCTTGCCGATCATGTCGCACACTTCTCGAAATACTGCTCAGGAGCGCAAGGCTACCTACAAGACGCCTCCGGCGACAGTGAGGAACGCATCCACCTCGCAAGAAGCCCGACGTCAGAAGGTGCGCATCACGCCAGCTCGCAGCTGACGATCCCAGCACTCACAGAGATCCTCCTGTGCCAGGCTCTGGAAGAGCAGAAGCGTGTGCGCAGCTCTCTCCAGTCTCAGCACGGCATGCTCGATTGACGCGAAACCCTTCCGAATCCGTGTCATTTTTGCAGCGGCGCGCCGAGCGATTCGACTCCTCGCGGCAGCTCGACTTCTTTGCGGACTTGACGCTTGGGCGGTCGGATGACGACGACGAGGGCACCGAGCCCGCGGAGCCCGTGCGTGAAGGTGTGGCTCAATTTGCGACGCTCCTGCCTCCGGCAGCTGCGGGCCCGTCCCAGCCCCCGACTACCGCAGACGGCACACCCAGGCCCATGCAAGACGATGCGCTCCCGGCGGCGTTTGGCACCACGAAGAAGAAGGGCAAGCACAATAAGAAGAGGCGTGGCGGCGCATCGAAGGGGCAGCCGACGAAGCCGAATAGCAAGTGGGCGGACAAGTGTATGTACGCGGAGCTGCTCGAGATAACGGAGGACACGGAGATGAGCGAGTGGAGCACGAGTCAGAGGGCAGATGGCATACCGCAGGACATCCAGTCTGGATGGGTCGCAATGACCCCCGTGCCAGCTGGCAAGCGGTGTTTGGCCATCACGCATGCACCTTCTGGGATTGCGGGACTGGGTGAGGAAAAGCGTGCTCGCGAACGCGTTGTAGCTGAATCCTACTCTTATCCCGTGCAGTTTCGAACACAACCTTGCGCTCACGGCTCTTGGGCAAATGTCTCATGAAGCCGTTTCCCTCAAGTCTACCTTCGCACACTGTGCTGGACTGCATTCTGGACGAGGATTGGCGCGACAACGGTATTCTTCATATATTGGATGTGGTCAAATGGAAGGGTCAGGATATTGCAGACTGCGAGACACCCTTCCGGTGCGTCATCGTCGCTTGTCATCAATTCACGTCTGACTTTTGCTTCATAGATTTTGGTGGCGAGATACCCGCCTCTCTGAACTGGCGTCGTTGCCTCCGCCTTCAATCAAACCTGAACCGTCAGCCAGTCAATATCACTTCGCATACCCCACAACCCTGCTCCCTATACCCTACCACACGAACCTATCCCTAGACCATCTGCTCAATAGTCTAATTCCAACGACAAGGGTGGCACGTACAATCTCGATATCCGTGCCCAACTACACTTCGATGTCTCAAGAATTGAGCGGCATGGACATCGACGCTTCGGCAACCGTCGAGCTCAAAACTGAGGATATGGTCGTGAAGTCAGATGGGATACTTCTCTATGTCGCACAGGCTACATATGAGCCTGGGACGAGCCCTTTGAGTCTGTGGGTGCCGGTACGAGCGTACATACAGGACGAGGTCACCGGGCATCCTCAGAGTATCGACACGGCGGAGGGCCCTCTAGATGTGTTTGAGCGGTACGTCCCCTTGAGTGGCATATTTTCAGGTACATGACTGACGGAGACCCTTAGGTTGATACGAAGGCGGCTCGTGCAGGGATACTGTGCCGCCGATGCCATGGAGCCTTAGTATCCTACGTATTCATTGTCATACCTTTCCATCAGGCTTATGTAGGATGATCTCATTCTTGGTTAGTGGGCACGAGCATACTGATACTGTTCATGCTCGAACCCCGGCGCGCGAACCCGGGCAGTCGTTGGCCTTAAAGGTGACATGGACCGGTATGGAAGACTAAAATTCCACTCTGCTGAACTCAAACAGAGCCCGAGGTGGTGGTTTCCGAGTGTCGACATGGGCGAGGGAAATCTGTGGAGCCATGTTGGTAATGATAAACTGGAGTGCAGGGAGGGGGCTCACTATGTCTTTGTTCCCCCGATCCAACGCGTACCACGCTTTCCGGGTTCTGCTGTCCCAGATGCTGGGCCCAGGGCAGTCAAGGTGCTACGACGAGCTGCATGGACCCACTCACATGTACAAGTTCTCTGGCCCGACAGGTGTAACAGCCCATTCAGTGGCCTGGTCGCCCGCCAGGACAAGTGCGACTGCAGCGTCGCTGACGGACGAAGCGGCTTTTTCGCGGTAGGTTAAGACGTACATCCCATTTTCGGACCGTCTGACTTGCCACTAAAGCGTGTCACCGATATCAGCGTTTTATATACATAATACCCTGAAAAATGTTTACTTGCCGGGTACGGCGAGTGTGTATTCGGGAGCGTGCGTATCGTCTCGTAGACCTCGTTGGACCCGATAGCGTAAGCGTTGCTCGACTCCCGAGAGCCGATGTAGTAGGAGCCATCCGGCAGAGGCATCCCTGGGACATACATCATCGACAAGAGAGATGATAAAAACTGAAGTCTGCCGCGGACAAGAAAGCTCTTGGATCACGACTATATACATGTCATCAGCGTCTGGGCTTTCGCTCTAACTCGTCCCTCGTATCGGACTGATGTTGGTGCCGGATGCCTGACAGATGCGAACAACGAGACGGGATATGGGGAGGCTTGGCTGGCCACATGATGGCATGCTGAACGTGAAGAACCGCCGGCGAGCAGCTCTTTATGTAAAACTTATGAAGCGGGAGGTAAGCCTGGGGAGCACCCGGTGCCCGGGGGCAGCGCGCGCCACAAAGCCCGCGTCTAACGAAACCGGTTGTTACTGTGTACACAACCGATGTTCGCGATGTGAATGGCAATGCTTCGTGGAGCTGATAAAATATTATATTTCCCTGACAGAGAGCACCTGGTGTAAACCGAAGGGGGGCACTTGTAATTTCCTGCAACGGGGTAGCCACGCCCGCCAGTGGCATTCATATCCAAGCAGCACTGAGAGGCACGGTTTGCTCCCAATCTGGACGAGGCGATGAAAGTCGTCACAGCCTCTCGGGATGAGGCGGACCTCACCTCGTAAGACAAGGACGTTAGACCCGGAGGCTTTTCAAAATAGCTACCGAGGCGTGTTTGATGTCATCTGTCAAACTTGTCAACTTTAGTCCGTGCTGAATTCACGAGGACTTCGGAGATGAGAGCGGGCGCGCGCAAATGTTGCGCCACCCACATTGCTATCCGGCGCTGAGCTGGGTGTTGCCGGCTTGGAGCAGCTTTGATCGGACCACTCGAGAGGGATGGCCCCGCAAGCCACCAGTGTCGGGAGCAGACGAAAATCATGCGACCCTTGCCGGACTTCAAGCTTTCAAGCTTTCAAGCTAGAAGCTTGGCAGTGAGCCGAGACACCCGAGGTCAATCTTCTCGCGAGATCGCGGCCGAGTGGTCCAGTATTGCGTATTGCTCGCTGGACCTGCGGATTGACATGACCGTCCTCATTTTCTGGTTGAAATCCTTGTGAGATAAAGTCGACGTGTCCACTCTGCAAAGCAAAGGGGGGTGGCCTTATCCGCCTTGGCTAATAGCATCTTATCGGCACATAGTCTGCTAAAGGGAAGGAAATGGTCACAGGACGTGCGCAGATAAAAAGTGCCTAGTACTAATACATGTTATCCGAAAGAAAGGAATATCAGCTAAAGCACAACAGTCATACAGATAAGGCATAGGTCGTGAGCAATAACAGAAGAAATTAGGCTATAGAAAGGGACTAGAGAGTATCAAATCATCCGGGAAGCCGCGCACGACAACTAGAGCTCGCAGCTCGCGATCTCTTGCTCGGCCTCCAGCGCGACATGCACGCGCTCGTGACGTGGGAGCAGGTGGATTCTGTAGGGCATAGGGGTGCGGCCAGAGGTGCCCTCGTATTCCTCCAGCGAAATCGGCTCGGTCGGAAGCTCGTGAATGGTGAACGCCCAGAGCAGGCGGGAGATCGCGAGGAAGAGGATGCGTTCGGCGACATTAATTCCTGGGCAGATCCGACGGCTGGAACATATGCTCATGAGGCGCTGTTTCATCCGACGCGAGGGGAGAAGTGGAACTTACCCGGCACCGAATGACCAATGGTCGCGCTCCATGGCGTTAGACTGGTTCACCGACTCCGCAGAGCTCAATTTGTCACCGAGATAGCGGTCAGGGTTGAACGTATACCTGAGCGGAGGTGTCAGACAAATTGTGTCGCGGACAATAAGACATGGAAAAGCGGGAAAAGAACAAACGTACGGATCAGGGTATCGCGCTTCGTTGTGATGGAGCGTGAAGCAGTTCAAGATCACCGCGGCGCCCTTGGGAATGTACATGCCGTTATACACGAAATCTTCAATCGAACTGTGCGGCGTCGCGTTCCAGAACGGCGCGTGGACGCGCAGGACCTCCTTGATGATCGCACGAATGAAGGGTAGGCTCTTCTCGTCTTCGGCGACGGGCCAGCGGTCCCTGCCCACGACAGTGTCCAGCTCATGATGCGCACGCGCCTGGATGTCCGGATGCTTGCCAATGAGCGCGAGGAACCATTGAATAATTCCGGAAGTCTGCAACGGAAATTGCGATCAGTGGCCCGCCCTCCTATTGTGTTGCGGATGCGAAACCGCCTCACCGAATGGACGCCGCCGATGGCGAACGCAGCGCAGAGCATGCACACGTCCTCCCAGTCCAGCTTCTCCTGCTGCCGGCCCTCAATCAAGACCTTGGCGAGGCAGTGCGGGACGTCCTCGTGCGCGTCCATGCGTGCCTTGACGGCCATGACCATTGCGCCGTACACCTCGATGAAGTCGCTGTGCAGCTTCTCGGCGCGGGCATGGGTCCTGTTCGGCAGCCACTGCAGCGGCTCGATGAAGTCAACGAGGTTCGCAAATGGCCCTAATTTCCGACCTGTCTCAGCATTCCGTCGTGTGCACAGCCAGGCACAGCTATGGCTCACCGGTCAAGTCGTTGAACTCCATGGCCATGGCAAGGATGCGCTTGATGAGCGGATCCGTGGTCGAATCCGTGCGGGTGCCAAAGGCCACTGTCAACATGTTGCTAGGGACCATAGTAAGCGATACAGCTTTGTTCATCGTGAGACGCGGACTTACTTGAGAGTGTAACGACCGGTGTAATGAGCGGGGTTAATCGGAAGAGCGCCTTGCATAGACTCCATATACATAGACCTTATCATAATGCGAGACTCGTAATCGAGGGCGTCATTATAGCCCTGGATCGCCCTAGGCGTCAGAAGCTGAGCGGCGACCTTCCTGTGCTGACGCCTGCAAAGACGAAGGTCAACTTAAGAAGAAGACTAAAACCTTAAGCGTGGGATGACATACCAAGTCTCGCCATAGGGAGAACCGGAGATAGCACGACCCCTCAGGACGGTCTGGTTCTTGATGAAGTACTGCTTGCGACTCGAGAAGATGGAGCCGTTATTGACAAGCAGCTCACGGGCGACGTTGGCATCGGAGACGACGACATAGAGCTGGTTGCCGATGTAGAAGGAGTAGAGCGGGCCGAACTTCTGGGCCCACGCGTGCAGGGTGCGTTCAGGATAGTCCGGGAGGGAGGGGAGTCGAAGAAGAGGACCGGGAGGGATCGAGTTTCCGTTCTTGTCGACGAGGTTCTTGCGGAAGAAGAAAGGGAGGACAACATACAGGGTGGCAGCTACGATAAGGAAAAAGGCTAAGTTTGCATTGAGGGTCTGAGTGACGAGAATATCAGCAGGATGTTGTGGAAAATGGCAGTAATGGCTGGCACGTACAGTTGGGAGAAGATGAAGGGGAGAGGTGGAGACGACGTTCATGGTGAAGAGATGATTCGAAGAACAAATGTAACAGGACAGTGAAGAAGTCGAAAGGGCCGTGAAGTGAGGACGCATCCGCGGCGCGGTTTTTATATGTCGAAACCACCCCGCCCTGTCCTGCCCCGCCCTACCCCGCCTGAGATCAATACGGAGCGCGAGCAGCCATGCACACGTGCTGACTGTCCGTAGAGGTTAGGCGTGTGGAGGTCGAAGGCTAGTCCTAGTGTGGCTTAATCTCGTGAGCCCATCCGGACTGCCGAACAGATCCTCATTGGATAGGAATGCTGTTAGAGCAGAATTAGAGGAGTCGCACGAAGAAGTGACTGATTTCTGCGGACGTATATCAGGAAAAAAAGCACTAGTCGTGTATCCGCAATCGCATGCGTCCCTTCGGCAGAAGTGATCGGGATGCAATCGCAACCTGCCATGGATCATACGCCGAGTGCGCAAGGAACATAGCCAAATCCGAGGTCGTAGATGGTCTCCCATCACGGAGCAGCGTATATTGCCAATCTAACGGCATGCCACAGGAGCACGCCTGTCTGTCACAGCTACAAAAGAAAAGTTAGACTATTTTCTCAGTTTTTTTTTGTTAGGGACTCTGCGTACGACTGAAGCTAACTGAAGGTTCTGTGGCGGCGCGACGCTCGTATGCCAGTGCTAATCGGCTCGCTGGCGCACCCGATAAATAGGCTCTGATTCTCAAGGACAATCGAGAGGCCAAAGGCGAGGATTGGTACGAAAAGATCGACTGTTCCCTTAGTAGCCCGTGAGCTGACAGTCTATGCACACCACTGGGCACGGGCTGACTCACCTTGTAACGTTGTTGTCAATCGCTCGGCTGTTGCCTTCGAACAGGCGCGCCTGTCGGGGAGACTTCACCCGCGTCTATTGCTGGAGTTAACGCGCCGCCTTTTGCAGATCTATAGAAGGATGCCGCGAGATAAGCTCGCCGTAATGACTCGACCATTACACGGCTATTGAGGCACACTCACAGACACCCGCAGTACAGCTTTCGTGGCACACACGGGCATTTATGAGTACCTGTGGTTTGCGGCACTTGGTTTCGGATTTTGATAGACTACACGCGTGGATACGCTCGCACCGCTTTGACTTTGTCTTCACCTGCGGACGACACTTTTGATACGGTATTTTGCGTACCTGGTTTGGTTTTGATTGTAGTCGGTGCAGTGTCAGCACATGCACTAGCCTGCGCTGTTCTGTGATTCTCGCGAATCGAACATCACCACTGGCCCCCTTTGACTTGAACTCTTGCTCTGTACGCTCACTCTCGTAGATGTCCGCCCGCCTCCTGATAAGCTTCTCCCGGATATGCGCTTCGCGTTCGTCAGCACGGAGGAAAGATGACATACCAGCCGTTCCGAAGCGATCTCAGGTCCTGCGGGCCGTGGTGGCAACGACAGCGTCTGAGTATGAATTGGTAAGTACTTGCCGACTATCCCGCAGACGGGGCCCTCCCGAACCCAAGGAATACGATATTGGCACTGATGCAAGGTTTAGACACGCACCGCTGAGAAAGACAAGGCACCCGCGGACTGTCCGACGGGAGCTCTGTGTGGCTAGTGCACGGAACAGCACGCCCATGAGCTCGGATCCACACGTATTATAATTACCGTTTGCTGGTGGAGGTACGGTTGTCCCAAAGTCACTCTAGCACGCACGGAATTTTCCGTGTGGAACAATCCGACACGGGCTCCGCTCGGCTTTCCCCGAGCTTTGCAGTATGACAAAAGGCCTCTGAGGCATAAACTGCATCCTAAAAACTTGCACAATAAACTACAGGTTACTGACTCTATCCCCTATCGGATTGCTATCACTACTCATAGTACTCATCGTCAAAGTGCGTGAGAAGTGCCTTACCCCGCAATTAGCCTCCGGTCATGCCTTCCAAGACTACTGTACAGAGAGTTTGACATATTCGCCTGCTTGAACATGTAAGCCAGTACCTTATTCCTGCAGCTCATCGATGAATCTCTGATTACACGACAACTTTCTGCGCTGATTCGAAAGCCGCAGCCAGCTCCGTCTGACAGCTTCGGCTTGAGGCTCGTTGCCTACCAGAGTCGTGAGCCGGACCCTGGGCCGTGTCAAGCCGAATCGCACCCGGCTCACAACTTGGAGAGCTTAGCACCACAGAACAATGCCCAATCAAGCTTAATCCAACTTTAATCCTACACGCTGCGCCGTCGGAGACGACTCGGAGCGCAGTGACGTCGGGCTTGACCGCACCGAGGTGGAATGAAGACGGACACGAGCTGCGGCCACTCTTCGAACCGGCCCCTTGTCGGGGCGTTGTGGCGTGGTGTTCAACAGCCGCGACGCGCGGGAGCTGAACGTTTGGACGGTTGCCGTGAGACACGGGCCGACTCGCCTGAGCTTGCCGTGTCGCGTTGAATGGGACCCGCAACCGAGACAACGCGTCGGACTCGCGTCCATGCCGCGCGGCCGACGCAAAGGAGCAGCTCGTCAGATCATTATCTAGCACAGCGTACTAGACGTTGGACTGGTGACTGTACGAGGCACCCCAGGAGTGCCCTCACCATCACTTCGACAACGCTACAGTTTGAAATATTCTGTAAACATTCCTTGGGAATTACATGACCATACACGTAGTACTTGCAGATATACACTTGCTTTTGTACCCAAACACCCGCGGATGAGCGCGAACGAGTGAGCATTAGAAAAAAAAGGGGGTCAAGGAAGAAAGGGGTGTATAATACACACAATATCGCAGCTCAAGATGAGCATCAACAGATACAACGCCACTCTAGTAGTGATAGGATGGACAATATAGCTACGGCAAGGCAGGGCGATCTCAAGGCTGATCGGCGGAGTCGCTGCCGCCCACGCTCTCCTTGCCGTCCTTGTGGGAGACGACGATCGTCTTCGAGTTTGAGTGCATGTGCATCGGCTCGCGGCCGCCCGTCGTCGGGAGGACGTCGCCATGCGAGTGCGTGTCGTCGTGGAAGTTGTGGCCCGCAGCCGCGTCGATGCCGACGTAGTCGTACGCGAACTCGCCCATCTCGGCGTCGTCCATGCCGAGGATCTCGGTCTCCTCGTCGCAGCGCATGCGCAGGCCCGGGATGAAGTGCATGATCCACAGGATGATCGTCTGCAGCAGAAGACGAGGAGAGAACTGTGTCAGCAAAAAGAAATTGCGGTGCGAATGCACGGAGGAGACGCACGGTCATCACGAAGGAGTAGGCCAGGCCGGACGTTGAGTCTGCAAGCTGGTACGCGAGCTGGATGTAGTGGTGGTCGAGCCAGCCGCCGTTGATGACAGTGATGCCGTCGAAACCGGCGACGCTCTTCTGCGCGAACAGACCGGTAAGCAGATTGCCGACGATGCCGCCGATAGCGTGCGACGCGAAGATCTGTGCGCCAGATAGAGCGTGAGCGAGACACCAAAGAAAGGAAATCCCGGCAAGCATACATCAAGACAGTCGTCGTAGTGGAAAAAGAACTTGAGCTGCGTGGCAAAATTGCAGACGGTGCCCGCCATGAAGCCGAAGAGAACGGCAGCCGCTGTTTGGAGAAGGATGGGTGCACGGTCAATATCACAAGGAGCCCCACAGATGTGATAAAGTACTGACGAGATCCGACAAAGCCTGATCCCGGAGTGATGGCGACCAAGCCAGCGATTGCACCCGAGCAGAAACCAACTGCGGACCATTTGCGCTCGAGGCGGTAGTCCTGAGTAACGCCACTACGGGTCAGCATGGGGCTTGCGTGGTAAAACACGAGCCAGAAACGTACCCAGAACATCCAGGTCAGGCCACCGACGGAGGCAGCCAAGTTGGTGACAATGCACGCCTGAACAGCGCGCAGGTTGGCAGAGAGAGCAGAGCCGCCATTGAACCCGAACCAGCCGAACCAGAGGAAGACCGTGCCAAGCACAACGTAGGTAGTATTGTGGGGTTTGTAAGCAAGACGCTCAGTGCCGTAGCCTCGACGCTTGCCGAGATAAATCGAGATGGCGAGGGCAGCCGTACCTGACGAGATATGAACGGGCGTGCCCCCTGCAAAGTCGAGACCGCCCATGACGAAGGCCCAGCCGTTGGAGTTCCATGTCCAGCAGGCAATCGGGTCGTAGACGATGGTCGACCAAACGAAAGTGAAAACGATTGTGGGACCGAGCCGTGCGCGTTCTGCGACGGCACCGAGGGCGAGTATGGGAGTGATGGCCGCGAACATCAGCTGGAAGACACAGAACGCAATGGAGGGAATGCGTGTGCTGCCAATGGAGGGTTTCTCGAGGACGCCTTTGAGACCGAAATAGCCTGTACCGCTGCGTCAGCGACGTGCTCCGCAGTATTGCTGCTTTCCTGAGAGCGATGCTTACGAAGGTCACCGATGTACCTGCTAGCACCATCGCTGAATGCAAGGGAGAAGCCCCAGAAGAACCACTGCGAGATAGAGATAAAAATAAAAATAAAAATGGGCATTGTTGATACGACCAGACCGCAGAGACTTGCCTGGAAGGACACGGTCGCGAGAACCGTCATGGAGAGCCATATCATGGAGAGGGCGCTCTTCCGGCGTAGCAGACCTGAATAGAAGAAGCCGACGCCTGGAATCATGATCCACACGAGGGCGGTGGAGGCGAGAACCCAGGCGATGTCGCCCAGGTTATAGACGACATTTTCCTGTTGGACAGGATCGAACCACACGAGCGATCCGGCTAGAGGACGACGCGGTGAGTATCGTAGTGTGCGCGTACGACGGGAACGGGACACTCACAGGCGTCGTATGTGACGTTGACCATGGGGACTATGCACTGCTTGTGCCGGCGTCGACGAGAGGGCAGACGCCTTGGAAGGTGAAGGTTCGTGAAAAGAAGCAGGCCAGTAGGCAGGGACAGTTTTGTGCGGGCTGTTATCTGTGTAGCGCCCTTCGGGGTGCACTTGGCGGGTGCGCGGGATCAAAGGATGTCAAATGGCCGAGTGCATCCCCTCTCTCACTTATCAGCCAATGGCTGCCCTTCCAGCTTCCAGGCTTATCGCATAGCCTTGGCTCTGGACGCGATGCCAGAGCTTCTTTTCCTGTACCTGCCCATCGGCGTTCTGTGGCTACCCGAGCTTCGCTCTGTAATGCTAGAGGATCCGGAGGTCATTGAGGACTCTTTGAGACACGGATCATGATCACAGTCGGGACGAGGCCGCCACCGCGACAAACGTCCCAGATTGGCGTTCCGCGCGTTTCAAGTGAATGAGCATGACTATTCAAACGTTCACAGTGCACCTACGCCAGGCAGTAATATGTAATATCTGGCGAAACAAGCGTACTACACAGCCAAGCAGCGAGCATCTGGCCGGGCCTGGTGTTCGGACGAGACACAAACCAGCACCTACGACAGACACTCGCCAATATCTGGCCTCCGGAAAGGCGTTGCACAGCACATCAATCGTCTCAGTTGCAAGCGTGCTTCTGAGCTATGTCGGCGTTATGTAGGTCGAGATGAGAGCTTGAGCAGGCTCTAGGACATGTTTAAATGCGCGGATGCCTTAATGACCGTGGAGTCCGGACATGGCTCCCTAGGCGCCCAAACGCTGGCAGCCCCACCCACCGACGTGAGTGCAGCAAGCTTCTCGTCCCCCGCGATCTGTTGACCCCCCAGATCTGCGAGCAAACCATCGAGGAGTCTATCATGTCCTTACCTTCTGCGAGAGCGTCTTCGAAACAAAGCGTCCACCGTGGAGATCGTCACTGCCTAGGCGCCGGTACGCCCAGATATGTTGCATTCACGAGAGAAATTTGGAACTTTTTGGTCGCAAAAAATATGCGAAAACAGCCTGAAAAAATAAGTAAGAAAATGCCATATTTTTCCTCCCGGTATCCGG